AAAGGTCAGCAGAGCTTGAAGTGACTGCCAGAGAAGACTGGACAGACCAGTGGAAGAGGAGCCAGGACCAGCCCTACCTGGTGCCTGACACTCGGCTGTGGGGCAACAGAGAAAGAGGGTTGTATGACCTGGTGTGGGTGCTGACAAGGAAAGGCCTCTTTCTTGGGCAACTGTGGGGACCACGAAATTGTCAAGTGTGTTACCATTTCGAATGAGAAAGCAAGCATTGTGGCAGAAAGAAGGACTCTGGGCGCAGACCAGTGGTTTGTTTCCTTAGAGGTCTAGGTCTGCCTTCCTCTGGAAGAGGGGCAGTGGTGAGGCCTCCATGGGAGCCCCCTCCCACCTCCCTCCTCTCCGCAGCCCCGTGAGGCAATGAAACAAGAACTTGGGAGGGCTCCCACCCAGAATCTCCGGGGCGGTCTGGCCTTAAATCGCCTCTCCCCTCCCAGCCTGTGGACCTCAGAGCCCCTCTCCCATCAGCGTTCCGGAAGGATGGCGGGCGGATGAGGAGGGGGCGGTGGGCACACTCGGAGCAGTCGGGGGGTTCACACGCACACACCACAGACACTGAGGGGCGGTTGGTATCCATCCGCTGCTCCCTCCAGCGCGGCTCCTCCCGATCCTGGCCCCCAGCGCCAACCACCCGCCGGTCCCCTATATCGTAGTGCCGGCAATGAGGGGGTGGTCGCCACGTAGGTGGCCGCGGAGGGCTACTGAGGCAGGCTGGTGTTAGCCCGCCCCTCGGGCTGGAGCTCCTCCCGGCCCCGCCCCCTCTGGGTCGGAACTACGGTGGGCCTGGGAGGGGGCGTCGAGCCCATTCGTGCCGTATCCCTCCGCCCCCCTTCCCGACACCCCTCGCCGCGAGCTGTTCGTGCCGCATCCTGCGCAGCCCCTGCCCGTTTTGGTGCAGCGGTGCGGGGGGCGGGCCGCCTCTTGGAAATCTGACTGCGCGGAAAGCGGTGGGACTCCGAGTGAGGAGCTCCGAGAGGAGGGGGAGGCCGACGACCTGGGCCCTGAGCCTAGAGAGGCAAGTGGGGGTGTCGTGGGGGGCGCGGGGGTGGTCCCCCACTGTCGACCGGCTTCCAGCCCGCCCTCCAGACCCTGGCAGCCTGGCAAGGAGGAGACGAGCCAGTCGGAGCCGGTCGCTGAGAGAGGTGCGCAGCGCCGGGGGACCCCTGGCGCTGAGGAGGCGGCGACCGGCGCGGGCCGGGGCCAGGGCGCAGGGGCTGGCCCGAGAGACTCCCGCGGATCCTCTGGAGGCGAATCGCGCCCCGCCCTCGACGGTGTCTGTGCTGGGAGAGGGCTGTGGGGGAGGCTGCTGCGGGAGAAATGGCGGAGCGGAGCGAGAGTTGGGTCGGGGGGCGCCCGTGGAGGCCGGCGGGGCGGGGGCGGCGTCCGAGCTCTGCGCCGAGCCGGCGGAGCGGGACAGTGGTGTGGGCTGCTCTGGGCCCTGATTCTGGAAAGGGTCCTGTTGGGCCCCGCGTCCTGGGTGCTGTCCCTTCCCACAGGCGCCTCGTTAATGCCGAAGTCTCCTGTCTGTGCGGTAGGTCTGGCGATTTCAGCAGAAGCAGAACTGAGTGGGTAGAATATGAAGAGAGCAAAATGACATATTTATCCGCCTCTGAATATAACAGTTTTATTGCCTTCCATATTTAGATTTTGCAGCCAATTGATTTAAGTAGATGACAGGGTGAAAAGTCGGTTGACTTTCACAGGAATGGTCCATGTAAATAGTGGGGTATTAATTCACCTTGCTCATTCAGGATCTGTTTTCTCAACACCCAGCCCACATTAATATGTTGAGGTGTGGGAATGGCGGTTCAGAATAAAGGAGAAAGTTTTCTGAAGGGTGAATTTAGAACTCATGAAGTCAGTTTGTTTCTTCAATTTCTGGTTCTAGAAACCCAAACTCCATCTCCGTCCACCCCTCGCAGCCCCTCTCATTTTGCTGTAGAAGCAGTCCCACGGAATGTTTATGGAATTCCTGAGGATGGATAACTGTGGAACTATGGGAGTTGGGAGACATTTAGTTACTTATTTCCTGATTCTTGAAAAGGAGGAATTAGAACCTGAATTTGGGGTATTTGTCTATTAACCTGATATTTTTCTTCTATGCTGTGTGGCTGTCTGCATAGAGATATTCTGTCAACATATTCTCTGGGTATTTTGCTAAATGTCCTTCCCTCTTCCTGTAGGGCGGGACTCCTCCAGCTAGAGGACTGTTCTTTGTTGGGAAGGATAGCATCTTCTGAGAACCTATGCTGTGTGGGGGCTGGTTGGCATAGGTGGTGAATGAGGTAGGATCTGTGTATGCTGTGGGGCGGGGGCATGCAAAGATGGTATTGAAATAATAGTCCCTATTTTCACTACCTGCTTCCTGAATACAGTTGCCTATGTTCCACTACCCACTCTTGTGCCTCGTATTCTTATTCAGGGAAAGAGTTGTGGTCTCTGCTAGGAAAATGACTGACTTCAGAGTTGAGAAAAGGTGTAATTAGACAAGCTGCAGGTTTTGGGGGAATAGATGGGGAATCATTTGGGAGGAGCAGACAGATGGGAGACATTTAACGTGGCCTTGAATATACAAAAGCATATATTATGACGCTTGGCACAGGTGTTGGGCCATCTCAATTTCTTCTGTTTTCTCTCCTTTGCCTTTTTGTCTGTCTATAGGTTTGTTCTTTATATGTTCCTGTAGAAATCTGTATATAGCTGTTTACTTTGCATTTAATTAAGAGAGAGAACGAAAACTATTCATTTGGATCCAAGGTGAGTGTGAATATGAGCACTCCTATTGACGGGGGTGGGAATTGGCTGTTGGCAAGTGGGTGAGACCAGATCGTATCTTGGAGCCATTGTCTTCCAACTTTACAGACACCTCTCTCCTCTCATTGGTGTATAGGAAATGGGGATGGTGTGAACCAGGATTGTGCCTATAGGGTAGTTGATAGATACCCAGGAAATTTGGTGGGGCAAGAACCCATGGGGACGACCAAGGAGGCCAGAAAGGTTATATAACGAAAGCTCTAGATTTGGAAAGGCAAGTATTAGGTTTAGGAACCAGAGTGCAGGACTATCTACCAAATACTCAAAATTTCAGCCCCTCCTGTGTTTTTTGTCCATAGGTCTCCCTGTGAGTTGGCTGTGGGACTTATCACCACTGGAAGCAAGGAAAGAGGAGAAAATTGCACCAAATCAGTGCAGGTTGGTGTGAGGCCTACCTGGATAGACCTATAGATAATAGTGGTGTGTACCAAAGGGGCTGGACACTCCTTAGCTTCTCTCACTTTCAGCAAGTTTTTTCAGCATCTCTGCTCCTATTTGACATAGAGAAAAGAGTGTGGTAGGGTCTGGGTAGGACATTGTTGGGCATTAGTGGGAGTGTGGAAAAGATAAAAATGAGATAACAGAGTTTGCTACTGTTCTGTTTCTCCTACCACACAATTCATCTCTACTTTCTCCTATCCTGTGTGGCTATCTGTATAGAGAAACACAGTTGGAAGAGACTCAAAGCCCATTTCCTTCCACCTCAGGTCCATCTCCATTGGTGGCTGTGATGGCCTTGGAGTGGCAGAAGATCATCACCTTCATCAGGTCTGCACTCAGGAACCATCATCTTCCCTCAGCCTGAGTGTCTCCGCCCTCTGTCTGTGTCATTGACAGAGGCTGTGTGTTTGAAAAGGAGATTGTGCAACTGCTGAACTGACAATTGACTCTAACTCTTGCTACAAAGTTTATCTCTGACCCAGTAAAAGAGTGTTAAGACATCGACCTGGAACACATTGAGAACCAAGGCCAAGACTGTATAGGGCTATCTATGTAACTGGGCTTCAGCCATGACTGGGGCTAAAAATGAGAGTAGAAAAAAGGCCAAAACTGAGAAAAGGGCTGGTATAGAAACTGAAGCAAAGAGGGAGGCTGCTGGCATAGTCACACCTGTAGCCAAGACCCAAGCCAAAGCAATAGTCGAGACAGGGTCTCAGGCAGATGCAGTGGCAGAGAGGAAGGCAGTGTCTAAGAACAGAATTGTTACTCAGATGAAGGAAGGGGCTCTAGCAGATTTTAGTCCCAAAGCTGAAGATGATGCCACTAGAGTATCTCAGTTTTGTTCCATGGCTAAGGCTAGTGCTGAGTCGAGGTCTACATGTAAAGATAAGGCTGGTATTGACACCTGGTTCTGGGCTGGGGAAGAGGGCAGTGTTGGTTCCTGGTTCTGGAGTGGAGAAGAGGTGGGTAATCATTCCAGTACTAAGGATGAAGATAAAGCTGATATTGGTCCCCTGTCCTGTGCTGAGAAGTTGGAACCTGTGGCTGGGGCCAGCTGCAAGGCTAGGCCGGGGGCTGAGGAGGAGGAGGAAGAGAATGTTATTGGGAACTGGTTTTGGGATGGAGATGAAACTAGTTTTGACCCTAATCCTAGACCTGTGAGCAGGATAGTTAGGCCTCAGCCTGTAGATGAAATTAATGAAAAAAATAGGCCCAGGGACTGGTCTGAGGTAACTATCTGGCCCAAAGCGCCTGCTGTGACTCCAGCAGTGTTAGGATTTAGATCCCAAGCCCCATTTGAGACAAAGCCTCCTTCATATATTGTCCTGGCCTCAGCTGAGGAAACTACTCATTCTTTGCCTGTGGCAACAGCGTGCCCTTCTAGGAGCACTCCCTCATGCTCACAGACTATTCCTGAGTACCCATTTGGTTCTGACCCATGCATCCAGACCATAGAGGAGATTAGACGCCAAATCAGGATCAGGGAGCTGAATGGGATTAAGCCATTTGCTTGTCCTTGCAAAATGGAATGCTACATGGATTCTGAGGAATTTGAAAAACTTGTTAACTTACTGAAGTCAACTACTGATCCTCTCATTCATAAAATAGCTCAAATTGCCATGGGGATCATTAATGTTCATCCATTTGCCCAAGAGTTCATTAATGAGGTGGGTGTAGTGACACTTATTGAAAGCTTGCTCAGTTTTCCTTCCTCTGAAATGAGAAAAAAGGCTGTAATTACTCTAAATTCCCCTTCTGGGGATAAAAGACAACGCAAGGTTGAATTACATGTTAAGCATATGTGTAAGGAAACCATGTCTTTTCCCTTGAATTCACCTGGACAACAATCTGGATTAAAGATACTAGGGCAACTGACTACTGATTCTGACCATCACTACATTGTTGCCAATTACTTTTCAGAGCTTTTCCATTTGCTATCCCTGGGAAATCGTAAAACCAGAAATCTTGTTTTGAAAGTGCTTTTGAACATGTCTGAAAATCCAAGTGCAGCCAGAGACATGATCAACACAAAGGCATTAGCAGCATTAAAACTGATCTTTAACCAGAAAGAGGCAAAAGCCAATCTTGTTAGTGCCGTGGCCATACTTATTAACATAAAGGAGCATATCAGAAAGGGCTCAATCATAGTTGTTGATCACTTGAGTTATAATACACTCATGGCCATTTTCCGTGAAGTTAAAGTGATTATTGAAACAATGTAAAATGAACCAGAAATAAAAGAGAATACTTTGAATAATCTCCAAACTCGAATAGGCTGCCTGTTCCCAAAGAGCCTTGCATAATGTTTTGGTTATCACAGTGTTATAAATTACATCTTTACACGATATTACCTGTGACTGTTCTAGGTTTGAGCTTAACCATTTTTGGAGTATCAAATGAATATTACACCATGAGCTGAAAACATCTGTTGATTTTTATGTTGTGTAGATGAGGAGCTTTTTAGCATTTTACTTAAGAAGATAGTGAACCAGTTCATTGTAAGTAAGCTAACTTGTTCATTAGTATCTGCTTAGACCCATTTGTAGCTTCAAGTGGCAAAAAAGAAATATCCTTGAATTTATAATCTAGTTGCAGAAATAAGGCATATACACACAAGAGAGAACTAATAGTACATTCATACACACACACTCATTGCCAAATGTGCACTCAATCTGTAAAGAAGGCAGGAGTTGCTATAGGTTGTTTAATGTAAGAGGAATTACTGTTTTTCTTCTATTCTACCTGCATCAGATAACTCATTTTACAGTACAGAAATGGCTCTGAATCTCAGATAAAATGTAATACTCATTTTTTATTTTGCCTCCACATTTGTAACACTCATATTGCTAGGCTGTCTCATTTATGTCGAAGTCATCTCATAGAAGAGAAAGGAGGTAAGTGTAGGGAGGAAACATTTCCTGAGTACCTACTCTTATGTCAGATACTGTGTTGGCGCTATGTTTTACAAGATTTTGTCTCTTCTCACAATAGTGCTGTGAGCTAGGTGCTGGTATTTTTTTTTTTTTATAACTCGTTATTCTGGATTACCTCCAGTAAGAATTAGGGAGGTTAAATAACCTTTTCCTAGATTCCCACAGCAGGCAGGTGGCATAGCTGTTTTGTCTGATGCTGTGTTTGTCTGATACCAAAACCCACTCTCACCACACTACCTTACAGTTGTCCTCTTTCACTTTTTTAGGTGGTGGCTTTCAAGGCTTAGAGACTGGTTTTAATGATTCAATATTGCTATAGATAATGTCTCTGCCAGTCTTGCAATTGTTAACTTCCTCCACATGCACATATCCATTAGGCATTTGACTATACCTGGCTGGGGGTCAGGAGAAAAGTCAGATGGGTGTATGGATTTGAACTGGCAATGTCTGGGAAACAGTAGATGCCCAAAACTGTTGAATAAGATGTAGATTTGGAGTTGTCAACAAGTGAAATTTGCTATGTATCCTTCCTAGCTTTTTCAGTCTTTATGTACTTTTTTCCCAAAGAACTGTAATCGGTTCTGTACACTGTTTCATACATTACATTTAAAAAGATAAATTGCTTTCTTCCTCCTTGCAAAATTCATACCTTAATTTTTTTTTTTTTTACAATTTATAATTTATTCTCCTATGTGTCATAAGAAAGGCCAAAGGGCTCTATCTTTTACTAGTAGGCAAGCCCACTTTCTGCATTTGTACTGGCTAAACCTATACAGGATAAACTTGGAGAAATTTAGACCAGAACTGCAGCTTCATCAACACAGAACAGGAAAGCTAGGTGAGAAGCAGCTGCTTCAGCGTACATGATAGTGATTCCTGGAAGTCTTTATGGTCCAGAGAGCATTCCCAGGACTTTTAGGCTATGACTGTGTTCTCTTAAGACTCATGGTAGGACTTAGAACCCCTTGTCTGAGCTGAAGAGAATGTCTCAGTGTGTGAAAATTTTGGGTTATATGCCTTGAAACTTTTAAACAGTTAAGAAACTAAAACAAGAATATACTATAAATATTTGTAACTTGCTTTCCCCCCACTAGCTGTATATTGTGAACGTCATTCCATGTCAATAAATACACTTCTACAACATATTTTTGAATCAATGTTTTTCCTGTGTTAACGGTGCATAGTGCCCTAATCTTTCCTTGTGTATTCTCTTAATAAATAATATGCAAAAATGTATTCTTTTGCAAAAATAGGACTATAGTGTTCTGCAATTTGCCTTTTCATCTTTACAATTATCTTTCCAATTTAGTGTTATACACATCTGCCATGTGCTTTTTGTTTAATAGCTTTATTGAGATATAATTGACATACATTAAACCATACATATTTAAAGTATACAATTTGATAAGTTTTGACATATGTATACACACATGAAACCATCACCACAATCAAGATAGTGAACATATCCATCATCCCCAAAAGTTTTTTCATGCCCTTTTGTAATCCCTCCCTCTCACCTCTCCCTATGTCTCCCCACCCCCAGACGACCACTTATCTGCTTTGGGACAATATAGGATCATTTTCATCTTCTGTAATTTTATATAAATGGAATCCTACAGCACATATTCTTTTTGGGGGGAGAAGAGGGGTCTGGCTTCTTGTCCTCAGCATAATTATTTGAGATCCATCCATGTTGTATCAATAGTTTATTGCTTTTTATTGCCATGTAGTATTTCACTATATGGTTATACCACAGTTTGTTTATCCATTCACCTGTTGATGGGCATTTGGGTTGTTTCCAGATTTAGGCTATTACAAATAAAGCTGCTATGAGCATTCATGTACAACTGTTTCTATGGAGGTATGCTTTGCTTTTCTCTTAGGTAAATACCTAGAAGTAGGATGGCTGGATCATATGGTAAGTGTATGCTTAACTTCTACATTTTCCAAAGTGGTTGTACCATTTTACATTCCCGCAGCAGTGTATGAGTGTTCTGATTTCTTCACATCCTTGCTAACAGTTGGTATGGTCAATCTTTTTAATTTTAGCCATATCTCATTGTAGTTCTGATTTGCATTTCTCTAATGACTAATGATGTTGAAAGTCTTTTCATATGCATATTTGCCATCCATATGTCTTGGGTGAAGTATGTGTAAATATTTTATTCTCTTAAAAATGTCTTTCGAAGAGCAGAAGTTTTTAATTTTGATGAACAATTCTTTTACCAGTTATGTTTTGGTGTTATATATAAGAAATTGTTGCCTAATCAAGGTCACGAAGATTTTATCCTATATTTTAAAAGTTTTACAGTATTAGGTTTCACATTTGGGTCTATGATCCATTTTGAGTTTTTGTATATGGTACAAGTTATTGGTTGAAGTTCATTTTTTGGCAGAGTGATATCCAATTGTTTCAGCATCGCTTGGTTAAAAGACTCTTCTTTCCCCACTGAGTTGCTTTTGAATCTTTGTCAAAAATCAGTTGTCCATGGGCCAGCCCAGTGGCATAGTGGTTAAGTTCACATGCTCTGCTGCAGTGGCCCAGAGTTTGTGGATTCGTATCCTGGGCACGGACCTACACACCGCTCATCAAGCCATGCTGTGGCAGTGTCCCACATACAAAATAGAGGAAGATTGGCACAGATGTTAGCTCAGGGACAGTCTTCCTCAAGCAAAAAAGAGAAGGATTGGCAACAGATGTTAGCTCAGGGAAAATCTTCCTCACCAAAAAAAATAAAAAATAAAAAGTTGTCCCTGTATGTATGGATCTGTTTCTGGACTCTTTATTCTGTTCCATTGATCTACTTGTGTATCTTAATTATAATGCCACACTGTCTTGATTACTGTAGCTTTCTAATGTCTTTAAATCAGGCAGTGTGAGCCCTCTAACTTCATTATTTTTCGAAGTTATTTTGGTTATTCTTACTCTTGCTTTTCCATATGAATTTTAGAATCAGCTTGTCAGTTTCCACAAAAACTCCAGCTGGGATTTTGATTGGGATAGCTTTGAATCAGTAGGTCAATTTGGGAACAATTGACATCCTAATAATATTGAATCTTCTGACCCATGAATAAAATATATCTTTCTACTTATTTAGGTCTCCTTTAATTTCTCACAGCAGCATTTTGTAGTTTTCATGCAACATACTTTTTAGTGTATTCTTTAATATTCTTTGGCATATTCTTATATTATTTTTCCTGTGAAAATTGATGCATCCTTGTTTATATCTTCATGCCTGTTTGAATATTTCTCTATGAAAAATTCCTTGAAGTGGAACTGCTTTGTCAAAGATCATAAATGGCAGTGCCCTGCAGCCAAAAACCACCAGGAACATGCCTGTATTTGAACAAGTTCGGTTGCAGAGAGGGAAAACACACTGTAGGGAATCATGGGGTGCTTCAATAAGAGGGTTTTAGTAAACAACTTATTATAGGATTGGGCCTTGTTTTAGGTAATTTGGGGGAGAGTTTAAGGAAGCGAGGCTTTCCCGAAGATTGAAAGCTCTCAAGAAGTGTAATTCTATGATTTGGTATCTAAATAAATCTTATTCTATAAATGGGGAAGACTAGGCCAAGGCTGAATGGTGATAGGTAAAGAAGCAGCAGTCACTCATATGACCCAGAATAGGAGGATATTTGGTCATTTTTGTGATCCGGACAATGTTTCTCTGTGTTCATACATGATTACAAAGTGGTCTTGTTTTTGTCTTGATACATCACAGTCACAGAGTGGCCTTATCTGATGTTAATGTTCTGTGTAATTGTTTATATTCAACAAGACAACACCAAGGCCTAGCTGTGAGTGCTGGGCAGGCTCCTGGATGTCAGGGGCTGCTTTTCTTCTTCTCGTGGATATTTAAAAATTTTGATATGTACTGGCTAACTGACCTTGAAAATATATCCCCTCAACCCATGGAGCATGAATGTCTATTTCTTCATATACTTGCCAACACGGTATCAGTATTTTCAATCTTTGCTACTCTCAGAGGCAAGAAAGAAAGAAAAAACTGTGTTGCTTTTATAACATTTTAAAGGTTACATAATATTCCGTATCATGGATGTGACAGTTGAATCACATCTCTACATTTCACTGAGTTAATTCTAGGGATGTGAGGATGGACCCCATCACCTAGTGGGAGGAGACTGTAGTATATACATGCGTGTATCACTTTGCCTGTTTTACTTATGCCCCCTCATTTCTACTCTTCTCATGTGACCTCTCAGATTGGGGCCCTCACAGGTACCACCAAGTGACACCAGAAAGGTTGTACCACTTTACACTTTGAATTAAACTTAAAACAGAAAAGTGAAGAATTTAGCCGTGCTCACATTGTGTTACAGAGTTTAGGTCCTGAACTCTGTTACGGACCCACACTCAGGTAACAGCCACAGCCAGTAGACTAGCAAGTGAGCTCAAGACAGATTGGGGGTTATTGATAAGACAAGCACAAGCTTTGCAGTGAGTGGACCTGCTTTCTGGTTACAGCTTTTTAAAGATTATATAAATGTATTTCAGGTTCTTCACATTAAAGAGATTGATCATTATTTTTTTATAAAATAAGCTTCAGAACAGCATCATAATCATGAGTTGATAAGTCTTTAGTAAACCAACATGTAGATTTGCTTTAAG